TTGCGGTTAAGGAACTTAAACTAAGCTACCATATTATAGGTATGTAGTACATAATAGCGTTTCCTTATTACTGCAGCTTAATTTTGATTCCTTAGCAGCAACCCGGACAAACACCCCACACCCTTTCATGGCCATGCCTTTTGTTCTTGCTGTCGGGTGCGCTGCTCTTCGAGCAAGGCCTCCGAAACCTGCACAGCGACAGATCTAAAGCATCGAATATTTTCCAGATCTACTATAAACACAACTATTTCGGTAGGTAGCAAATAGCAAGGGAGCCCAAAACCACTTGAGCAAGTCTTAGATCTTGCTTAGGATGTTCAAATAGTTTTGAAGGCATTCCGCTTTCCGCCCGGTTCCAGCTCCCTAAATAGAAGGCCTCCCAATAATGTACAAGCTACGGACTGCGGAACAAGTTACACTATAGTCCCCCTTAAGTAGATAGAATATGGTGTATATGGGGATCTTAATATAATATTCCCAAAGCCATATTCTATCTACTTAAGGGGGACTATACACCTCTGGAGCATCTGCATGACCATGAAGGAAAGAAATGGCAAGTGCTTATGCAAGCTGCACAGTATGGTTAGTCTTGGGCTATGACACCAGATGGCAGCAGAGCGGAACCACTAATACTCTAGAATGCCAGCGTGACTGGGTTGCTGATGAGGAGCTCATATCAAGTTAATACAATAAGGGAGCGACACCTAGAATCCCTTTACGATCTCCAGATCTTTTGGGGTGGCCATATTTTGTGAATAAACTCCCTGCCCAGTGCCCTCTTCTTTGCTGGCGCCGCCTTGGCTACCTCCATGGCAACGTTGCTTTGTTGCTCAAGGCCTTGGATAAAAGCATGCTCTGACCCCCAAAAAGAACAGCTTCATTGGCCACACGGGAGGTTTCGACTGCTGCTGCTGCTGCTGCTGCTGCTGCTGCTGCTGCCGCTGCTGCTGCTGCCGCCGCCGCTGCTGCTGCTGCTCTAAGTCCTCTCCTACTTCGGCTGTTGCTGAGCATCAAGTCAAAGTTGATGTCTGCCCTAGATGATGCACTCACGTGGTGTTGACATGATGTAGACGCCTCAAGAATCACCAACATCTTTCCCTAGCAGTCGCTGTGTAATGGTATGATACGATACACCCCGCAAGCCTCCTCTAGTGACTTAAGACTTGAAGCTCCTGCATCATCCCCGCTTAAGGCTGCCATCCTTGAAGCCCTCACGAGTCGGCTGGGAAGGCGGCGGTGCTTCAGCGACTCTTCCGTGGCCTGTTGCCGGGTCTTGGGTTTAGGGCTGAGGGTCACGTAGAGATGGTTAGTGAGTGGGGAATGGAGGAATTGATCTTCATCATAGTCGGGTGCATCTGTATAAACCCCAAGAATATCTTAACCGCAGTCATATACCAAGTGGACTTTCTCAAAGCAGTGGCCCTTAGACGTTGGAAAAATTGGCACAAAGCATCCATATTCCATGACATCTGCTACAACCCAAAGTACAGGCCATACAAAGCGCGTGCAAAGCCCACAACCAGGGACCACTAATTTGAATAAACTCTACAAGACAACCTCGAAGATCCCAAGGCCCACAACCCAGAACCATACACTCAGAAATGCCTGACCTTTACATCACTGGAAGCGCTAACCGAATCTCCCGCAAGGACACCTACACAACAGGCAATTATAATCGAGTTTGTGCCCCGAACCCTGAATCCTAAACCCTGTACCTCAAGCGTAGAATGTGCTGTGGCAGGCCAGACCTCACGAAGTTGTTGCCAGCGCACTTCCAGAGCATTGAGGGCCTGGTTTCGGTGCTGCCTGCGCAAGGGAGTTCGGGGAGCAGAGGATCTAGGATTCGGGGTCTGTAGGGTGCAAGGTATAGATTAGGGGTTTAGTCTTAGGTCCTGCGTTTGAGGACGTCGGTCTAAAAGCTTCTGCTTGAAACTGCAGCATTCTGACACGCTGCCCAGAAAAGAAATTTTCGTGGTCGGGCATGTGAGCGGGCATCACGACAGCCATGGTTCAAACCTTCCTGAAGCGCCCTGGGTTGCTCATGCTGCTGGGGTCCTTAGCGCACAGGAGGTCGATACCAAGCCCACCACAGAATCACATGACAAGGCTATACATGTTTTAGAAGCTCCCCACAGCAATTACAAGTAATAGACTCCGCATCACCTCAAAACATGCTCAAAACATGTGATCCGAATCTACCGATATGAAGCCGAAATGGGGTGCTGCTTGACCAAAGGCTGGTGATGCATCGGCAACCTTATATACCAATCTACCATGCATCTGCCAGAAGATAAGCTACCATGCATTACACATACCAGTAGCAACATACTATGATACACTGGGTACTGCCCGCACCTGAAAACAGTCTATAATTGGGGTAATCAGAAAGAGCTCTATATACTCATATTAGATTTGTTATACAGCTGTTGCTGGGTGCGGGCAGTACCCAAGTGATACATCGCACAAGGCCGCCCCCTAGACCCTAACTAAACCCTAAACATCATATAGCTCGCGGATCAACAACTCTATGCAGGCCTCTCTGCCACGTCTTCTTGGCGGAGGACTTCCTGAGGGAAGCAGAGCTCTTAGGGTTTTGGACTTAGGCCCAGGCAGCTGGCTGCCATGATTTGGGGGTTTCCACAAGATTCGGGGTGTCTTTTTGGGGGTCCCAATAATAAGGTTTATCGTGTTTGGGGGGTCTACGGTGGGGTCCCCTATTTAGGGAAATACCATTTAGGAGAAGATTTTCTGAAAGGTAGCGCCAAGAAAGTGGTTTTGAGCATCTTCTGAGGTAGGCTAAGAAAACAAACTTTCACCAGGAGATCTAAATCTCACAGCGGGCCCTGATGCTTCGAACTGTCACAAGTACTTTGCGACATGGTTACCTGCTACGGTTTGAGACACTTGTACTGTTTTCTACCCATTCCCGAAAGTATCTAGAATAATTAGCAACCTCTCGACTCTTTTGTCAGGGGTTTTTGTCCATGAGTTCAGCTACTTCGGGGCCTTGTGGCATTCCTTGTCTCTACCTGCCCCAGAACCATGGCAGAACTAGTTGTTTTGCCTGTACCCACGGCCTGTTGTTGCTTTTAAAGCACCCGGTTTAACCCATGTATTCCGGAAAGTTGACCTCGCTTGAAAGGGGCGCTTGCTAGGTCCTTGGCACTTCACCCACAGACATGGTCAAGAGATATATGGCCCCATTATAGTAGTTTCCATTTTCTTTTCCAGTAGCCCAATATAACTCCTATATAAGCCCCATTATAATGGCTCTCAAAGCGACAAGGGCCAAGGGTTGAAGGTTTAGCGCATGCAAGTTTTCTGCACAGCCCTGACCCTAGTTGACCTTGCAATGTTTCTGGGGAATCCCAACCCATCCAGTCACTCTGCAGTTTGGCTCCCCCGTAAGACCGACTGCTACTGCAGTAACCTTGAAGAGAAGCCCAACGTATCCGAAATCTGCACAATATCTTCCCGATATCCCCCAAAACTCAACCTTATCCAGAAGTACATCGTCTTTGTTGCGTGCTGCTCTCAGTTACATACCAAACCATCATCCTGCCGGTAACAATTAATAACCCAACGCCCCCGTGTAATCCCCATGTGATACGAGTTTATGATGGATGTTTTGATGTTAGAAGGAGGGGATTACAACTACAGGTATAGCCATGATGATTCTTGCCCACCTGTAACCACACATGAATCTTGAAAAGATAGTCCATGAAACGAGTTCTCCTGGAATTGAGATAGAGTAGTGGAAGCGAGAATGAGGATCATCACAAGTATAGTTAAGGAAGTCACGACCGAGCCAAATCCCAAATATAGAGAGGTTGGGGCCCCTGCGTTCTGTAGAACCTCACGGTTTGAGAAAGTTGCCTTCATTGAAATATTGCTAGCTTGTGCTTTCGTTAAACCCTCAATCCCAAACCCCTACATCCTCAACAAATCCCTAAACCTGAACCCCTGTATAAGCCCTAAACCCAAACCCGTGCCCTAATCTTGCCTCCAGCTTGGCTAAAGCCGCATCAGTGCGATGTCGCTCAGCCGTTAGCATGGCAGGAAGTGCCTCCAGGAAATCTCTTAGGATATAGAGGAAATATAGTATGAGGATTATGTAGTATAGGGATTACACAGTATAGTCATCATATAATATAGGGCTTAGGGTTTAGGGTTTGAAGCCAGTACCATATTCTATCTACTTAAGGGGGACTATAACCCCAATATATACCTTATTATAACATAGTAGTTTCCATTTTCTTTCCCATTATCCCTATAAAACCCCAATATTAACCCAGGGGACAGCACGCTGCTAATTAACCATTCCCCGCCTCTTTGGCTGAGCTCTGCCTACGAAGGACATCATCATCTCCGGCAGCGCGTTCTTTTGCCTTTGCCACGGAGTCAAATATAGGGATAGTGGAAAAGAAAATGGAAACTACTATATTATAATAGGGTATATAGTGGGGTTATAAGTAGATAGAATATAGGGGCAAAACTTCTTTTATTCTCGGATAAGCCGAAATTCTAGAATGCCCATGCCCCTTGAAGCATAACAGACTCAAGCTCACATGACTTTGAGTCCTTGACAGGAAGACATGTAGAGCACGCATCTAGGTAGCAGACTACCACCTGCACGCTTTCTTACATCCTTTAAAAGGACCTAGCTTTCCATTTGATCTTCATTTGTCTTTTCCATTCTTAGTAGAGCACTGGTAAACCCACTCAGAGCCGATACCTCGTTTTCAATCGCCGCCAGCAGCTCGGTGAGCTTCTGCGTGGTCGTCCGGTCCCGGGAATCCGTGACCTGCCAGGACAGAATCTCTGTAGGTCCCCTGAACCACTTCTCATAACACTCTCCCTTGGCTCCCTGTTGATTCCTTAATCCCCCTGCTACTCT